GGGGGGTGCAACACCCCCCTGATAATTGCTCACAAGCTATTTCAGGTAGATTTCCTGTAGATTTTCAGGTAAATCGCAGGGCATAATCAAAGGTCGTTGAGGCAGACTCACGGATAATATCAAATGAAAGTGACAGAAAAAATTAGATCAGTTTGCAGTCGTTTTTGCAAACCGGGCACCGTGCGAATTTTGCCATTTCATCAATTCATCCACTTGTCGTGCTTCATTTTGGCAAATCAAAAGACGAACGCGTGCGCCAGTCCGATTTCCGATTCTGAAAGGCCGATTCGCAGGCAAACAGTGCGCGCAAAGCAGGCTGGACATTTCCCATTGTTTAACCGTTGCTTCGCAACATCCGTGAGTACAAAAAGTGAACTCTATGCTCTGAATCAGAATTAACAATCGATCAACTTTAGACGTTGGGCAGAGGGGACAAAGCCAAATACCCTTCAAAACGATCTGGAGATTCCAAATTTTCTGGAAAAAAAACCCTTTTCATGTAAACCTATTATTACCTTATACAGCGCAACGAGGCGGGAAGAGGAATTCCGAAAATTTTATTTGTATAGTTTATTGTTGCTTTAAATAGAAATTTGAAAAGTTTAATCAACACATAAGTCATACACAATGGACCATTCCCCAATTAACCAAAAAAATTTATCTCAACAAGTCTAGACAAAATTCCATCATAGCATGAAAGTGCATCACAAAATTAGTAATATTCCAAAGTTTCGTTGCAAAATGCTATAAAATGCGGATAATATAGCCTTGCGAAGTTTGTAATTTTCAGTCATTTTGTATTACGCACAGAAGTGGTAACCATCTCCCGTTTGTAATCTAAAATGACTGAAAAACGGCAAACTTCGCAAGGCTATATTATCCGCATTTTACAACATTTTGCAACGAAACTCTGGAATATTACTAATTTTGTGATGCTCTTTCAAGCTGTGATGGAATTTTTGTCCAGACTTGTTGAGTTCAAAATTTTGGTTAATTGGAAATTGGCCATTGGCATTGCAAGAAATTGAAACTATTCGCACACTAGATAAATTCCAAGTTTTGAAGGTTTGTAAGAAATGTTTAAGTGAACTGAATCTACAGACTACAAAACGTAGAATTTATTATATGCAAAATTCCTACTGTTTTCACAGAAACTTTGAGTGTAAACCGTGCAGCCTTTATTCTTTAATAAGATTACATCTCGACATTGTCATTCAAACAGACGCCTATTTCTACGTTCATGTACTGTATGATATAGATTTGAACAGGAATGTTTAAGACTCATACCTTTTGGCTTTGTGTTAAAACAGCATGAAGTACGCAATGAGACTACACTAGTATACTAGATTCGAACAAACCAGAATACGAATTCTTGTATATCCTCTATTGATAACTAACTGTCCATGAAATTCACGCTTTACATTTGAACAAAACTATCTAAGATGCGTATCTTTGCCTTTATGTTAAAACAGCATGAAGTCAGACAGCAATGAATCGAATAAACTCGAAAATGAATGTTTATATGACAATTTCAGTTCATATTGGCCAGGTGATCTCGTTTTCGTATTTTAGCCAATCAGCGCTTAGAAAGGATTTTCCGAATAGAAATCCATTTTGATGTATTCAGTCAATTATATCTTTCGTTATTATTTATGAAACTAGTTGAAATTTTGTAATTATGTTTGGTTATGAGAACTATAGCTCTGACAAAAATATGGAATCGAAATAAAGTATATTACAGGCGATATTCAGTTGTTTTAATCATAAAATGGATTTCTATTTGACAACTAGTGCCAGTACTTTTCCGCGTATCAAGATCATCTGGTTATTTGTTGGTATCATGGTAATAATATTATATTTATATTCAAAACAGAAAAAAACACGGTTATTTTGGAAAGCTTTTGATCTGTATTAGGCTAGATCTTCATCAGTGCTAATAATATAGAGCCAAGTCGTCTTGTCTGCGTTCATTATTATCTTCACAATGGAGATCAATTTCATGAATTTTTGCAATTTTCTTTGTTGAAAATTTTCGTAGAAGATGCAGAGATCATCCTTCCAGCAGCTATAGGTGGTGTTCTTCGTTCAGTGTCTTCCAAACCTCTTCAGTCCAACCAGCAATATTCAGGTCATGTAAAAGCTCTTCAATCCAACCAGCAATATTCAGTGTCATCCAAGAACGTCTTCAGTTCAACTAGCAATGCTTCCAACCATTCTGACATTATTTGCACTGATAACGACCAGGCCTTATAAGTTCAATAGCAATACCAAAGAAAATAACGCGATGTTTGCTACAAAACAATACACTTATATTTTTAAGTTCTTTGTAAGTTTGCATGGCGATAAAACATATAATAGTTTTGTTTGTGGAAACACCACGTAAATTTATCACTGCAAAGCTTTCGATCCGTAAGCCCGGATCTTCATCAGTGCTAATAATATGAATCAAATTATTAGCACTGATGAAGATCCGGGCTTACGGATCGAAAGCTTTGCAGTAATAAATTTACGTGGTGTTTCCACAAGCAAAACTATTATACTTATATTTTTATCGCCGTGCAAATTTGCAAAGAATAAAAAAACTTGTGCGGAGAGAATTACTATAGTGGCGCCTAAAACAGGCGTACTTCATGGCTACAAACTGTGGCTATATATAAGGTATAATACCGAAAACGGGCGTACTCTATAGCCACAAACCCTGGCTATAGAGTATAGGGTATGCCCAAATCATGTGTACTTTATAGCCACAAACCGTGGTTATACGGTATACCAAAACAGGCGTACATTATAGCCACAAACCGTGGTTATACGGTATACCAAAACAGGCGTACATTATAGCCACAAACCGTGGTTATACGGTATACCAAAACAGGCGTACATTATAGCCACAAACCGTGGTTATACGGTATACCAAAACAGGCGTACATTATAGCCACAAACCGTGGTTATACGGTATACCAAAACAGGCGTACATTATAGCCACAAACCGTGGTTATACGGTATGCCAAAACAGGCGTACATTATAGCCACAAACCGTGGTTATACGGTATACCAAAACAGGTGTACATTATAGCCACAAACCGTGGTTATACGGTGTACCAAAACAGGCGTACATTATGGCCACAAACCGTGGTTATACGGTGTACCAAAACAGGCGTACATTATAGCCACAAACCGTGGTTATAAGGTATAATACCGAAAACAGGCGTACATTATAGCCACAAACCGTATATGGTATTGCGAAAAAAATTCAATCTCGGCGCATACTAGATGACAAAAAGATGACAAAATGTTTGCCATTTGGATGTGAAAATTCTATTTTTTTCATCCACGTTTTATTTTTTAGATCACCTCATTTACATAGCTTCAAATATTTATACGAAACCAGCTAGAAATATTGAAGTCAATACGGGACAGTGATGAATGAACTGTTAATATGTCACACTAGCTTCCCCCCAGTCATATATACAGGCGAGGTAATGATCAGCCTTTCCAAAGCGAGGAGAATGCCAAATAAAATCGTTGCAACTGAACCTCGTGTTTTGTGCCCAAAACGACAGTTAAAGTATTTTTCTTATTATTAATAGTCGTTTCTTTTTTAAGTAGAGAGTGCAATGACTAACAGTTTAGATTTTCTTCACAGGCACTATATGTCTTAAAGCAACCCTATGGTTTTACCCCAACCCTGGATGCGATGCGAATTATATCGAGGGGAAAAAACTAGCGCAAAACTATATTGAAACAGTCACGCAGAAGAGGATGAAAGAGAAAAGGAATATGAAGGTGAAAAACAAGTATGAAAATAAAGAATTATCAATGACAATGGGAAAGAAGATTAACGTTTAATGATGGCTTTTATCAAATGATGTCATCAATTTAATGATGGCTGTTCTTTCTGTGATCAAAGTAAGAATTTTGCATAGGTAAATTCTAACGCCCGTATTCTAAAAGCTCACTCACACTCAATGAGTGGAGGTTCAATCTGAGCTTCTCTTGAGTGTCAATGCTGTTTTTGAATAGCTGGAGGGCTAGTGTCATACCTTACTATGTGACTACTCACCCTCCAGCTATTCAAAAACAGCATTGACACTCAAGAAAAGCTCAGATTGAACCTCCACTCATTGAGTGTGAGTGAGCTTTTAGAATACGGGCGTAAGATTTGAAGGAACAGGAACTTTGATAATGTAAAGTAGCCTATATAAGAGAATAGAAAACAGCTCAACGCTTTAACGCAGGCCCAAATTAAGATCGAAAGCCAGTGAAGGGGTTAGGATACTTCAGAGTAATGCACCAAATCATATTAGAATTCTATGATTGATATACTAACATTATCTGGGGAGCCGACATTCTCTGAAGAAGAGCAAGGGTGCGCAACGCCCCCCAGAAAACCCGCTTGTGATAAAAATATGAATTATATAACTTTACTAATCTTCGTCTGACGAATCATCATCATAGGAACCCAGGAGGGCAATACCAGTGGATTTCTTTTCTGTCCCAAATTTCTTTTCAGATTTCGCAGGCTCGTCAAGTTTTCGTTTCTTTCCTGACAGTGGAGAAGGCGAGTTCTTTTTAGCACCTGTAAATAATGCAATAGTTATAGCTACATTGTGAGAAACATAAGCACTTTATATTATATTTTTTGGCTCTTCATTACATCGGAATTTCTTGAACTAAAATTGGTTGCATAGTTGTCAATATTGCATGCAAATTCAATATTGCATGTAAATTCAAGTGCTATATATCAAAATTCTAAGTTAGGCCTTTCTGAATGCAATGATCTTATTTCATTCATTGCGATAGCTTTTACGTTACATGAAATCAAACAGTTCCCAGTTTTTTTTGGGACACCCGTTAGAAGTTGAGTTAGTTTGATCGTCAGGATATAGCTCTAAAATAGATTTGATGTGTTGAAAATGTTCGCGAAAATATTTCAGATTTATTATCCAGTGAGAAGTCTTTGAAAAATTTACCTTTTCGGAGTTACAGTTTTTTCGTATTTTGTAAAAATACTCACCTGACAAAACGGCAGAAACTGGCATGAACGGCATCTTGAAGCCGTCCCGCGGCGAGCTAGCATTTTCCTTCTTAACACTTCCGTCGCTCGGTTTTACCTTTGGAGCAGGCAGAACAGGAGGCGCCATACTACTAGTCCTCTTGTCAACATCGCCACCTGGTGTATGGGATTGAGTGGATTGTTGATCTAAACTAGATACAGATCTCTGCCGGGCGTTAAATAAAATAAAAGATGCATTCAGTGAGGAGTGAGAACCTCGTAAAAGAAATAAGGAACCTTAACGAATATGCTAAATACTAAGGGCCTGCCAATATGAGCCCAGCCAACTAGAGGGTGTTTATATGGAGGCGAACCAGCTCGGGTACCCGAGCTAGCTCGCTACTTTGCCAAGATCTAACGTCGTTAGGTAATTTATGATTGAAACGGTTTAATTGATTTGTGAGCTCACGGGAAAATACTCAATGCTTTAGTGAAATATCACGGTTAAATATGTAAACATGTCATATACTGTACTTTAACAAGCAAATTTACTGCACTGTGCTACAGCAACTGCCCAGTCACGCATACGTGATAAAAAGCCGACATACACTTTATAAACAAAAGATAATGTAAAACGTAACAGAACGGCGAACATGCAGATTCGGCCATCTCAAATAATGGTAATGTTGGGATAGTAGCGTTGCAGACTGCAGAGGAGAGTGGGCAGCAAGGCTCCCTCATGCACCACCCCATGGAAAACCTGCACCCCACCTTCTAGATGAGGCTAGATCCGCCCCTGGAATGAAATATTTGAAACTATTAATAACCTTTTCTATCATGAATGATTCTGGAAGTGGTGGTGGGATCGTTTTCTTAGCTGGTGCCTGTTTGATAAGAACGAGAAAAAGAACCACAAAAAAGAACGAAAGAAAAAGATGGTTAGTATTATGAAACACAACAAATTCGAACAAACATACTGGCCTGTCTTGGGGACCAAGTCACTGGACAGGGATACATCGTCCAGTTTTATTACCTCAGTAAATCTTCGTTTGACAGGCTTGGGAGGTTCAACAGGCTCTGGTTGCTTTGATCTTACTTCGTTATTACTGAATAAAGAAGAATACGAAATCTTGTGTAAAATAGGTAATCGCCATTGAAAATTGAAATGATAGGACGAAATGTATATCTAGGTATGCGCGTGTATTTTCGGTGCTTAATAGACAATTCCCATTATAGACTAATTTTAAAACTAAGCAAGGAGATGCAAATAAATCACCACAGCTAGAAAGAGCAGACTAAAATGAGTAAAGTAGCAAAGTTTGGTTGCGAAATGTTGTAAAATGCGGAAAATATAGCCTTGCAAAGTTTGGAAATTTTGTATACTTTTGTATTGCGTGCGGAAATTGCTACCATTTTCGGCCCAAATGTGGTAGGAATTTCCGCACGCAATACAAAAGTATATCAAATTTCCAAACTTTGCAAGGCTATATTTTCCGCATTTTACAACATTTCGCAATCAAACTTTGTAGTTTTACTCATTTTAGTATGCTCTTTCTAGCTGTGGTGATCTATTTGCATCTCTTTGCCTAGTTTTAAAATTAGTCTATAATGGGAATTGTCTATTGCCCAAATTTCAGGCTGGTGGTTCTTAACCCACTGTTTTTTTTATGCGAGGCATTACTGTAATGAATTTCTTCTTTTTATACCTGCTACTACGGTCGGGTACGGGTGGAGCATCATAATTAAATTGCAGTAGTGGTTCTGGATGGGGTTGTGTAGGAGATTCAGGGGTATAAGACGCTGCTGGGTGTGGCATGGGTGGTTGGGGTTCCCTATATGGTGGACGTTGATCCATGAGAGGTCTGGGACCTAAAACGAGAATATCATGGTCAAGGACTATTTCAGACAGGAGTGGGGGAAAAATTTTTGCTTTCTGGGACCACATGGGAATATTTAAAATTTTCTGCAAATATTCAAGTAAATCGACACTGAACTAGTGGCACTAACAAGTTGTCAAACTGAATGTCATGCTAAATTTTAACAGAAAAAAATGTATTTCAGTGCACTGAGAATCTTAATAATACTTTTAGGAATATAACATAAAACTAATTTAGATAACATGCACCAAATACAGATGGGCACTACTAGGGAGCACTATCAGACCCAGAAAATGTTGAAAATCAGGTGTCCCAGATTGACTAAAAATGCAATTGCCATACAACATTTGTTACATCATTCTATAGCCTTGTCTTCACCTCAAAATTCTACTAATAATTAAAAAATTTTGCCGACTATATCTTGAAATAATCCGGTAGATCACCACGTTAATATTCAGTACACGTCAGCATGTACAATCTACGCATGCTCAGGTAAGATGAGTTCACTCATCGTGATAAAGTTACTTACCCTCGTGACGTAACGCTGGGTTGGGATACATAGCGTGAGGTGGTGGCATTTGTGGATTAGGAGGGATATTATGGTTCGGTCCAAGTTGATTGAAGTGTGGAGGAGGTGGATTGGGAAGAGGGTATGGGTACGAGGGATAAGGCGGGGCTGGCCCACCAGAGTGAGGAGGGGGACCATAACCTGACATAGGTGGCTGAAGAAAGAGAATATGGAGTAAGACTTCACAGAGTAAGACTTCACAGAGTAAGACTTCACAGAGTAAGACTTCTAAGAGCAGACTACACAGTACACACGTAAAAATCCAAAGCTGCAGCAGACTTGTAGCAAAGCTGTTCCAACAACTTGTCAACAAGATGTGTTCACACTGTTTATTCCCTGTTGTTGACAAGTTGTACTTGCTACAAGGTTGTTGAGCTCAACAGACTTGTTACAAGTTGTTCCAACAACTTGTTATCGTGCTGCATTTCAACAATTCGCGATTGCTCTTGTTACGTTTTCGTAGCGCTTTGCATTGTGGTTGAAGTGGTATCACTGATAAAGATAGCGCCCTCGAATGAAAATATTGAATGTTTTCGCGAATATTTTGCTGTTGGCTATCGGGCACCTGACCCTAGCTTTTTTTAAAAGTTCTTGCACGGGTCAGGACAAAAAATAAGCCATCTTGAATATCAGTGATACCACTATAACCACAATGCAAAGCGCCACGAAAACGTAATAAGGGGAATGGCGAATTGACAAGCTTGCTACAAAGCCTGTTGCGAACACATCTTGCTGACAAGTTGTGAGATTTTTCGTGTGTAAGCGCATGTCACCTCTGATATCGTGGATTCAATTCTCGCTATGGACTCATGTGAAAACATCGGATATTTTCCGACAAAATTACAGTTTTTCCAACCAAATGCAGAATTAGGCCCTGTTCACATGAACCCGGGACAGCGTTATGTCTCGGGGCAAGCAATTGTCGCGGGCCAAAAATTGTCTCGGCTCCTTAGTAAAAGAATAGTGCTGTTCACATGATATTTTACTTGTCCCGGGACAAGAATTGACCCGAGTGCCTCGCCTCTGTAGACAGGGACACTCGCCTAGCCGGGACAACTTTTCCTCATGTGAACACTTTGCCCCGGGGCAACTTTGTCCCGGGATAATTGAATTTTTGGTAAAACGATCAAAATCGCGGCTAAAATTACATTTAGAGCACGTTGGACTCCACAAAACTTGTTATTTGATTGAAGATATCATTAGAAATCTATAAGTGATGATTCTAATAATATTAAAATAAAATTGTCGCTAATATCATGTTTGAAACCAAGAAGTGTAGTATGTTACTCAAATAATTTGATCTGGTCAACCAGAAACAATGAATTGAGGACATTTTATTACGGCTGATAATCAACTACGTTCTATTTGTAAATATCATAACATAAAATACGACTTGCGTTTATCAGAATGTTTTTTATTTAGCAATATTTCACCGTTTCACGTTGGCGGGAATATTTTATGATTCCCGCGTAATGTATTTATAGCCATGACCCGCGGTAGTTTTGTTCATGTAAACAGAAGATATCAGTACCCCGGGTCAATGACTTGTCGCGGGGCAGTTGTTTATCCCGAGATCATGTGAACAGGGCCTTAGTCGGACATTTTGTCCGGACTGATTTAACCATAAGCTGCATCAAATCATCCGGCAAAGAACACAAATTATTTAATGTATTAAAACAGAATACATAAATGATATTTACCATATTATACATATGAGGAGGTCGTTGCGGAGGTTGGCCAGTATTTTGACCTGGATATCCTACATGGTAAATGACAAAGTATATTATGTGACGAAATGGATGATTCCATCTATAGACTAATTTTGATCTAGGCAAGAAGAACAAAATCCATCACCACAACTAGAAAGAACATGTTAAAATTAGTAAAATTACAAAGTTTGGCCGCAAAATGTTGTAAAATGCGGAAAATTTGGGCCGAAAGTGGTGAATACATTAATACAAAATTTGCAAATTTCGCAGGGCTATATTTTCCGCGTTTTACAACATTTCGCAACCAAACTTTGCAATTTAACTAATTTTAACATACTCTTTCTAGCTGTGGTGATGGATTTTGTTCTAGATCAAAATTTAGTCAAAAGCTCGAATCATCTATTCAATTACTTTAAACGTGTTCAACAAAAATTTGCCAATCTGAAGGTTTCTGTGCATCAATGAATTAAATCTTATAACTTCCAAAAGCAATGAAGGCCGATTTACACGACACAACTTTTGCCTAAAACTGTCGCATGCAACCAGCTTAGAACTTGAATTGTACTGTGTAAATCACATAACTCACTTACGACAACATAGGCGAGTTGTGTGCTTGATTTACACAGTACAACTCAAGTTGTACGCAGGTTGCATGCGACAGTTTTAGGCAAAAGTTGTGTAACGTAAATCGGTCTTACCAAATGTCAGCAGATGTAGTAAGTCAGAAATTAAACTTGAAATTCTCCGACTTGATCTACTACTATTTGTTCTAGGAGGGCAATATCAGCAGAGATGATATCTTTACATGATCCACTTTCTTAACCCTCCAATGCACATAATGTACATGTATGATAACATTACAATCTATCTCTTGTACTTAAACACTCATTTGCGCGAAAGACCTCTCCAATGTTTCAGAGTTTCAACACTGAACTCAAAAACCTCGGACATTGAGGCAACTAAACTAAACTAAACTAACGTTTGCACAATGTTTAGTTTCCGAGGTTTTTAGGTCCAAGCCCAGGGTTTCGTGTGTCCAGATTTTCATTCATACAATCTGTGATCATCTGATTATGTTATCTACCTCAGTCGAATGTGAAAAAGAACTTCCAAACACCACAAGTCTTCCCTGGTTTCAATTTTAAATAAAATTGACTATCAAAAAATATCCTGCTGTTCTGGTTTCACATCCCAAAAAGATTAGTGTAGCTAGGTCAGATAGATATTTTTTGTTTGAAATTTTTTTGATTGACAGTGGCAGGGCTTGAAATAACGTTCCCAAAGTTCCCGATCATGGTGATCAGCAGTCATGACTTTTCCTGCTTGCCTAGTTTTAAAATTAGTCTGTTGTGACAACGGATGCCATTTTTGTGTCATGTTGTATTAAAAAGCAAGCAACGAAAACGTAGGATCGGTAGGTAACCATAGGATTTTTTTGTTAGACCAAACAAGATTGAGACCTACTGTAGCAGCAGACTTGTAGCAATACTGTTCCAAGGTTGTCACTCACAATTTGTTGACAGGACGATAACAAGTTATTGGAACAACTTGTAAGTTGTAACAAGCTTGTTGAGTTCAACAACCTTGTAGCAAGCTGTCAACAAGATGGGAACAAGCAGTGCGAACACATCCTGTTGACAAGTTGTTGTAGCAACTTGATAAAATAACAGCCTTGTTACAGCTTGTTGAGAAGCTTGCTGCAAGCCAGTTCTGTGCCTGTTGCAAACACATCTTGTTGCCAAGTTGTGAGATTCTTACATGTGTACAGTAAAAAGTCTTCAAAACCTACCTCCATAGTTAGGGTAATACGAGTTTGATGTCTGTTGCATTTGAAACTGCTGGTGAGCTGTGTGGACCTAAATAATTCAAACATAACCCAAATTTTTAGCAACTACCAACTGCAACTATAATTTATCTACAACTAGTTGCTCACCGTTTGGATAAGGTTTTCAACTAGTTTCTTTGCAGCCCCCAGACCAGGATAATTTGTGTGACTGAAAGAACAATTAGAAAATAACTAAGTTTGCAAAACTACAGTAAAACTTTTATAGAATAAATCGTGTTACCATATAGCAGGATATAATATTTTTGTCTCTGGGATCCTAAATTTTGGGGTGAAAGTTTTCTGCCATATGATTTAATATTCTAGTATTTATCCTAATAATTACTTTCTGCATCTGTTAGCATTATGCAATGTCCTACCTGATGTAGACATAGAGGGCTTCAAATGCTTCTCGGCCGGATGTTGGCTCAATAAAGCCAGAACCTCTTCCCCTCAGATTCACCTAAAATTTATAAAATTTATAGAATTTGTTTATATAGAATTTATAGATTTATTATATGTTTATAAGAATATATATTAAATTAAGTTTTGTTTATATAAATTGTGTTAAGACAAAAGGTAGATAGTCATTAATGACTGCCTTGATTTCTTGAAATATAAAGGAAGATAGTAAATAAAATATCTAAGAATAATTATCTTTCTCAACATAGGAATTCTAAATCCTCACCTTCGCTCCTGTTTCTTTTGTGATGTGCTGAAAATAACTTTCCTTTGAAAGAAAGAAAATGTAATTATTATATTTATACATCCTATTACTTCATTATTTATTACCTTACTTGTATTAAATTTCGTGTCGTACTCATTTTCGCCAGCTTTAAATTTGCGCGATTTAATTTCGTGCACCTTGTTGAGACTTATTCGCGCAGCTTTAAATTCGCGCAAGTAATTTTCCGTGTTCGTTCTTTTTGGTTTGTTTAATAGAACTATTAAGAGGAGTTTTTTTTGTATGTTACGTAACACGCGCTCAAAACTAATGCGTATAATATACCACTTGAGGTTATGACTAAATTCAAAATTTTTATTTTTCGATACGTTTCTCAATCGGCAAACAAACTTAAAAAGTATGTTTAGTGCTTTATCTGTAAAATAATGCTAAAATGAAGAGATTTTAGATGATACGCCAGAGAGAAAATTATGTCTGAAGTTCAGTAAGTTTTGCTTATATATTGCTTAATAAATATGGCGTCAATTTTAAAGCATCATTGATAATTGTATTTTAATTGACTTAACTATTATTTTATGTTTCTCAACCGGCAGATGCATTTAAAAAGGTAGCTAACTGTATAAACTAGAGAATAAAGCAAAAACAAAGTGATTCTGAGAGGAACGCCAAAACGATTTTAGGTTTTGAACACTTTTCATTGTAAATACGCGACATTGAAAAAAAATGCCTCTTAACAATTAACACATCTATAACAAGTATTTTTTTATCAACAAATACTTCAGTATTTCTCAAAACTTAATCGAAAAGTGATTAGGTGGCCTCAAAAAATGGCTTCAAAATTATGTAATGTAAGCAAAATTCATGATACAGAACAATAAAGCGTGAGTTCAAAATACCAACAAGAACTGAAAAATTTATTGTATGGTTCTCATTTGCCTAATACAATAACATAATGCAAATAGTAATGCAAATCTGTTAATAAAGTAATAAACCCAGTTGATTTGCATTACTAACAACGAGTGTCTCATATTAAGCCTCGTTTACACGAGCAAATTTTATCTGACAAATTTAATATGACAAATGCATTTGATCAAAAGCTAGCATGCTAGCTTTTGTTCAAATGCATTTGTCACAATAAATTTGTCACCAATGTATCATCTACACGAGGAAAATATCTTTGACATATGAAATTTGTCAAATAAAATTTGCTCGTGTAAACGGGGCTTTACACCACAAGGCTTTTCGTGCAGTACTAAAATTTGCGCACCCAGTGCTGTGCAAAGTCTAGCACTGCGAGAATTTTAATACAAGTAAGGTATTTTATCCCAGCTGATTGAAGTGATTCTTAGGTATATTTTTTAACTTACACCTGGTCCAACAATTTTTTCTTTCAGATTAAATTCAGGATGAACATTATCAAGGCCAACAAACACTTTCTCTTGAACATAATACATCTACAAGAACACAAATAATTTCTCAATGTTATTTTATGAAAGTATATTATAGTGCTGTGCAAACACTGCTCAAAGTTTTGGCTCTGGCCACTTAACAGCTCAAATCTCACAACAACACAGGGCATAAAGTCTGTAATCAGCATAAAGAAGACGCAGCATATCAAAGCATGAAGCTAGCGATTTACAATTTTTCTTGTGATAGATGAATTACAGACATAATGGTTTGACACAACTGATATGACTTTAAATTATATACAGTATATACTTTCAACAAAATTTAATGTTGCCATTATTTGTAACCAATAATAATTCTACTAAATTGTTACATTTCCTCTTGTTCTGGCAGAAAGCATGACTGTATATTTAGTTTTTTTGCAGATAGCCAAAAAATATTTTCAGTTAGCAAATTACGACAGGGGACCAGGCATCGAAGAAATGTTTTGAGTTATGTTTCATATTGTCAAAATTGAGTGTCCACTAATTTGCTCAAACCCAATTAGTCGAAAATTTTCATATATCAAGCCGAAAACGGAGTTTTGGCATTTGAAAACGGAGTTCTGGCATTTGAAAACGGAGTTTTGGCATTTGAAAACGGAGTTTTGGCATTTGAAAACTGAGTTTTGGCATTTGAAAACGGAGTTTTGGCATTTGAAAACTGAGTTTTGGCATTTGAAAACGGAGTTTTGGCATTTGAAAAAGGAGTTTTGGCATTTGAAAAAGGAGTTTTGGCATTTGAAAAGGAGTTTTGGCATTTGAAAACGGAGTTCTGGCATTTGAAAATGGAGTTTTGGTATTTGAAAATGGAGTTTTGGCATTTGAAAACGGAGTTCTGGCATTTGAAAACTGAGTTTTGGCATCTGAAAACGGAGTTCTGGCATTTGAAAACGGAGTTTTGGCATTTGAAAAAGGAGTTTTGGCATTTGAAAACTGAGTTTTGGCATTTGAAGACGGAGTTCTGGCATTTGAAGACGGAGTTTTGGCATTTGAAAACTGAGTTGTGGTATTTGAAAAAGGAGTTTTGGCATTTGAAAACGGAGTTCTGGCATTTGAAAATGGAGTTTTGGTATTTTAAAACGGAGTTCTGGCATTTGAAAACGGAGTTCTCGCATTTGAAAACGGAGTTCTCGCATTTGAAAACGGAGTTCTCGCATTTGAAAACGGAGTTCTGGCATTTGAAAATGGAATTTTGGCATTTGAAAATGGAATTTTGGCATTTGAAAATGGAATTTTGGCATTTGAAAATGGAATTTTGTCATTTGAAAACTGAGTTTTGCCATTTGAAAATGGAGTTTTGCCATTTGAAAACGGAGTTCTGGCATTTGAAAACTGAGTTTTGGCATTTGAAAACGGAGTTCTGGCATTTGAAAATGGAATTTTTGCATTTGAAAACTGAGTTTTTGCATTTGAAAACTGAGTTATGGCATTTGAAAACGGAGTTTTGGCATTTGAAAACGGAGTTTTGGCATTTGAAAACTGAGTACTGGCATTTGAAAAAGGAGTTTTGGCATTTGAAAACGGAGTTCTGGCATTTGAAAATGGAGTTTTGGTATTTGAAAACTGAGTTTTGCCATTTGAAAATGGAGTTTTGCCATTTGAAAACGGAGTTCTGGCATTTGAAAACTGAGTTCTGGCATTTGAAAATGGAGTTTTGGTATTTGAAAACGGAGTTCTGGCATTTGAAAATGGAGTTATGGCATTTGAAAACGGAGTTCTGGCTTTTGAAAACGGAGTTCTGGCGTTTGAAAACTGAGTTCTGGCATTTGAAAAAGGAGTTTTGGCATTTGAAAACGGAGTTCTGGGTTTGAAAATAGATCAGTTTTGGCATTTGAAAAGGGAGTTCTTGAAATTTTCTACTGTACTTAAGCATGCATATTTTGATATTTAGACTTCTGACCAAAGATTGCAGTTAGCTTCAGGCACTTGCAGGTAGCGACGCTACCTAGGATCCCAACATTTGACAGGCATGGAAGAAAGCATTGCAACTCCAGCTGACCAAAAAAACGCTAAAACTCCGGCAGATCTATGGCGCACAGCACTAGTATATTATACGCCCAAGCAAACCACAGGATATTTGTTTAAAAGATATTTACCCCAGAAGGTAAAGATGATTGCGCAGATTGTAACATTTGTTGCGGAAGAACAGGAGGAGGTGTGAAAGGATCGTCACCATTCATGATGCCTCGGATTCTTTGTACAGCCACTAAAATAAAATTGGGTACAAATTATATTGTACAAGGCAAAAATAAACCCTGGGTTTCCAGTTTCTGGCCCTACCCAGTTTTTGCCAATAAAATCACCAACACTAATCTTTTTAAAAATGCTAGATGTGTGACCAGGATTCATGATAAAGTTTCTGAAACGTTCTCTGATCTATATATATTGAAATTTTGCGAATTTTAGCCAAGAAAGGTTTGCTAAGCATCACTAAAAAAGCGTAATCAGGGTTCGTAGTCTCCAAGACCAAAAAAAGTCAAAGACTTTCAAATATTTTTTCTGCCTATTTTCAAAGACTTTTCAAAGACCTTTGAGAGCAATCAGCTGTCGACAAATTGCGAGTGTAAGCAAATTTTTACCCAATAATTAGTCCCGTCAAATCACATCCTAAAATGTGCCTTTTTGTCGATATTTGCGAAAATCTTGCTTCAAAATTAAACATTTAGCATTTTAACATTTCATTACGCTTTTTAAGTGATGCATTCTCGGATTGTAAAATTTATTTTAACATGAGCTTTCGTCTGCCAGTTTTCGACTGCCAGTGTGCAGTCTTCAACAGGTAAATAATCAAATTTTACTTACAGTATACTTTGTCTCGTGAAGGAGCTTGGATAAACAAGTACAATGGCTTTTGGCTAAAAATGTTAACAAATAAAGAATAAGTCCAATGAGTCCACCTCATCTGAGGTCAGAATAATGTGTTAATTAAGTAGGTTTTATATGAAGAGTGAAGCCCTAATTAGAAATTCAGACATCGGAATTAGGCAAAATTTCCGGAAGCCAAAAATTGCCTGCGTTATGATGATCGAACCAGGCAGCAATTCTACTTTTCACAGCGTTATGGATTAACTTGGGATGAAAATGAACGTCAAGTGTGAAACTTCTCTTTTTTTTTACTTAAGAAGACCAAACATAATAACTGTATCTGTTATAGGAAGCAAAAAATCCATAACAAAGATTTGGGAAGTCTGCCAGTTTCATGTTTATATGGGTGATTCTTTTTTTATCGGTGGTGAAAATGTTTTTAAAAAGCTCACTTCAGCTGGACAACATTATTATACAGCCCAAGGGCAAGGTTCCAAATGAGGCCAGTTGTGCCTGGGAACCCAATCTCATAAATTTTCCAATTTTAGGCAAAATAATGGTAAAAATTGAAAAACTAGGCAACCAGAAAACGTAAACTAGGATGCCCTGATGGCCTGATATAGGTCACAAAATCGGTTGTCAGTTTGTGTTGTGTACATGTATTCTACATTATCGTGCTTAATTTCAAAATACTCTGCTATTTTAATACCGTATGTAAAGCTGTTTCCGTATTATATTAATAATCTCTGTTTTAGGAATGTTTTTATTCTGTCAACATGTCTAGATTTAGATTAATTAAAACAACGTCATTGCACGCGATTGGTATTTTGGAGTCTGGGAACGTCCTAGTTTTTGACGACAACAGCCTAGTTTATTTCCAAATAAGGTAATTCTAGGACGTTCTCAGACCCCTGCGAACAAAAAACTAGGACGTTCCCAGTCTTCTTCAGGCGTAAAAAAAAATACTTGTGGTTCCGGTTTCATATCGTGAAAAAATTAGGGTCGGTCGGTCGGAAATAAATTTTTTTTTTGAATATTTTTTTCATGGTTTTGGCGGTATTTTGCTGGGCGATTTGCAGTAGAGCTCCGACATCAATATTAACAAGAGATGCGTATTTCCTATGGACAAATTTAGGCAATTTGGTTCAATAATTAGTGTGACAACAGACGCCATTTTGGCACGCTGTATGAGCAGCCCGCAACCACCTGGAGAAAATAGGGTCGCACGGTCAATCGCGTCGAAAAAATAATAGGGTCGGCAGAAAAAAATAGGGTCGGTCGGGAACCGGAACCACAGGTATTTTTTTTTTACGCCTCACCTTCTCACGCCCAGAAAACTAGGCAGTTTGCATTTATATAATTACAATGCGTGATATTAAATTACACTTGCACAAATCTATCGCAATAACATCGGCCGTGTAAACAGAAAAAAAGCAAGAAAGACATTATATTCCTTGTATTCAGTACAGCTACCAATAGTACAATGTACTGAATATTGGTTATTATGCTTATCACTCATTTATTGAGGCAATGATTATTTACGCAAATAACGCAATGACGAATTGTGATTCATGTTTGGCATACATTACTAAATTGTATTCTTCGGTGTTGTTTTTAAAGCTGTTGTTTCTAATAATATGGGCATAGGCAATAGGCATGGTCTTATTTTTTTAGTTTGAGTACTAAAACTAGAGTTTTTATTATATAAACCAACGTCTATATATAGATTCTATACATGAATTGTAAAAGTATATCACATCTCTAAGCTGCACTTGACCTTTAAAACGGTAACTTTATAACGTCACAGTATTTATGGTCACCACTTTTCCGGATGCTTTGCTAACATGCAAATTGTCTAGTATTGATTTTCAAAAGAACTTAGAACGGCAATTTTATAAAAACATTACCAATACCAGAAATGCTAAAATTGTGTGTATTGTAATGGCATTGCAATTGTCACTAATTATAATGTTTTTATAGTGCAGTCATGCCAATTTCCATCAGTACTGGTATCAAAACCTGTAAAATGGACTATACTTTACAGCCATATGTTACTAAATACATATCAAAACATGTATCATTAATTCACTTGCGCTAACCTTATAATTTTTTTTTTGGGGGGGGGTACTTGAAAACTGGGCTATTAATTTTTGTTAATACTGAACCACAGGCACAAGCAACATGCCATTTGGAACCCTGCCAAGGGCAAGAAACAGATGTGACATACCCAGTCATATAATTTCCTTTCTCGGATGGAGCAATGTACTGTCCTTTTGTTGATACAGCAGCTCCCGAGTACTTGTTTATCTAAAAAATATGAAATGTAAATATAATGGAGATTTGTAATTATTATAATTTAGTACATAGTACGTAATTGGTAGTTTATAATAAGCATTTACAAAG